CTCCCTAGCATCTGTTATCAGAAAGGAAAAAAAATGGGTTCAGAAAGACATAACTAACTCTTTTAGGGAGCATGAGCATTATTCTGGCTATGAAATGCTTCTGTTCACAATTATTCTTGGGGAGGATGATCACAACATGTGAGAGAGCATGTGGCTCAGGAATTTGATAGCTTGTCCCCTTACAGAAATACAATCTGAAATACTTATTTTTCAGTCACTCCCTATATTGGAAATGACCTTAATGAAGTTAAACCTTAATGTAATTAAGAGATAAATCTAATTAACGTGTTTTTAAGAAATGGGACTGTCAATGACCTACTTCATTTTAATTTATAAATTATTAGAAGATTTTTATTAGATTGATTATTCTTGGAATTTTGACAGGTTGTAAATCTTACCCAGACCTGTTGAAATAACTTGTATGTTAAACATACACTTTTTGTTATTTTATACTTCTGCTTTTATACTTTATGTTGATAATAAAGTGTCATTAGCTATTTTGCTTTAGAAAATGAACCTTTTCAGATGTGAAAGGCCTAAAATATATCTTTCCTTATAATGCACAAACTGTGTATTTTTTTGTTTTTCTCATTGTTTTCACCCTATAATATTAGAAGTCATTTTGTTGTCTCAGCTGTAAAACATCTCCCAAAGAACTAACATACCAGCTATAGTTTTGGTATTACTCTTGCTGTTTTCTATCAATGAAATTGACAATTACTGAGGCCTCAAAGATACCGTTATGGCACCTCTGCCAGTGCCTTGCACTTTTGGTTGTAAAATACCTTAGTAAAGAATGAAAGGTCTTCAGGGTGGTTACTAAGTAATGTTTTAGATTTTAATTAAAGATATTTTGTGTATTTTGGAATAATATAACAGGACACTATAGGGTGATATCTGGGCACTTTTCTCTCAGTGTGAGAGCATCAGGCAATTGTTATTAAAAAAAAAACAGAACCAAGTCCTAAAGAGTCAACTTGCTAACTATACTTACTCACAGTGATATAATGATTTTTTGTCCTACATTGGCATATTCTTGGGTTGTAAAGATAAAATGAACTGTTAGAGGCCACCTAATGAGTAAATTCTATTTGATATATGAAAAAAAGTGAACAAATTAGGGACACTTATAATTTTTCATTGGAAGCTTCAATTCATTCATTTATTCATTTAATGATCATATACAGAGTCCCTAACCTGTGTTGGTCTTGGAGTTATGAAGTATAAACACTATCCTAATACACATGGTCTCATGGTTCATTGCTTGAAGAAGACTGGTAAATACCACATCCAGTGAAACCATATGTCATAACAGCACATTGGAAGCATTCCAAGGCACCTATGTTTGCAGGTGTAGTTAACATAGGAAATAATAGATGTTTCATTGTGATAAGCACATTCCCAAGAGTATTTGAAGGGAAAAGGCATCCTGGATAGAGCAAAAAAATCAGAAAAGAGCACAGTCACTTTGGGAAATACTACGGGTACGAATGTGCATAGTGTTTTATAGTGGAAAGCATTGAGGGATGATTGAGTCCTCATGTGTGTCAGCTTTAAGGGGACAGCTTACATGTGGTTGAACATTCATCACCAGTACAGAAGGAAGATCTCTGCATGTTGTAAAGATTTTGAAATAGATCCTAGCTTGTTGATAAATAGGTACTCATCTTAGTCCCTTTTCCCTTGTCCTGTTATATCCCTCCCTATCTTCTTCACATACTGTGAGACAGAAATTAAGAGTTGGCTCCTCGTGGAGGCCTTCAGGTTCCCTCCAGCACTGAGATCAGCTAGACATGTAATGATGTTTTGGGGGAAACATCCTTCTTTCTTTTGTTTCTCTAGTAAAGAATGTATGCTTTATCTTAACAGGAGAGCTTGCAAGTTAAAATGACTCCAGGGATAGACAGGCTACATAGATCTGAGAGCGGTAAGTAGAATAAGCAACAGAGGTGAGGTGAGGGATTTAGTGAGTTAAAGCTATTAAAGTTAATTAAAAAACCCATATTAAGACACATGAATAGTTTTGATTGATTGTTTGTCTATACCCACATTTTGTTATTATAAAAATAGGGAGCCATAGTGGGTTTTGTTTATTTTAACTGTATTGGGATGATATAAAATTTATTTTTAAGAAAAATTGCCAAGAGGGTTGATAGATTATAGAAGACAGAAAAAAACACCAAGATCATTGGCTATTACTTATTTTAAGTTTAGACAAGAAAATACTGACTTAAATGCAAAGATTTTTGGGTGCATGTGAAAATTGTTTTCTCTTTACAGTAAAACAATAGAAAAAATTGTTGATTCATTTAAAAAACAAAGCCATTTAAAAAAGTTTAAATACCAAAAAATAGTGGTACATCTAATGCTATGACTTTTCAGGGAATTCAAGGTCTGTGATGCCTGAGCTGATTAACTTAAGCAAAGCATTTGTGGAGAAACAAACAAAAATTTGTGGGTGGTGAAATGGGGTGAAACAAATGCTAATAGAACTACTTAATGCTCACAAGCAAGGGATTTGAGTGGTAATAGTAAGACCTTCTCAATAATTTTTCATTACCTGAACAAACTTGAAAGCATACTATTCTGGAATAGACCCTGTTCTAGGCACAACTTAAAATGGAATGTATGGAGAATTTATGGAATGCTCATATACTTCTAGAGACTGGGGTTAAGCTAGAAAATAAAAGAAAAATAAAATAGAAAATTCCTATTTCTGTCAGACTTCTGTTCAGGAGTGGAAACAGGTCACAGACTTGTTGCAAGGCAGATCTGGTGAACAAACCTAGAAGGTAGGCTAGAGACTAACTATGGATGCAATATCTGGGAAACTTAGGGAAGAGAGTTCTCTGTACAGAACATGAAGAGAGTCTTTTAATGAACCCACAACTAGCAGTGCTTGAAATGAAAGGAGGGAACATTAGAGAGAGAAATTTATGTGTACTAGAATGTTGCAGATGAGTGTTGAATCCTCATAGTGGAGGGATATGCTAGGTTTTGATCAACTGAATTAAGAATTTGTGAGACATTCAAGTGGGTCTTATTGTTGGGTGTCAGAATTACTTGAGAGGGGTGTTGAACTTGATAAATCAAGTCCAAAGCTTATTTGTTTCATCAGCTTGGGCCTCCATGTTTATTAATTCACAAGGTTTCTGACATGGTAAAGTGAGAACTACTGGCTCAATTTTAGCTTCTTCAATTATGGATCATAACCCCATATGGTGTTTAACTTAAAAAATTTTTAAATACATTTATAATTTATTATCAGTAAATTTTTGATTTGTATTCCTATTTTAAAAATTTCTATCTACTGAGATTACCTTAAATCTCAAGCTAAAAGTGGTTGTGATTAGAAAGAATTTAAGAAGCCCTGGGTTAAGTTCCAGAGATATGAGCCTGGAGAGAGATTGAGGTAATGATTGGAGAAGTATATTTTGGAGTTAAAGTGTTAATTGAAACTTATGGTTGAATTCTTCACCCCAGGGTGGCTATAAAGGGGAAGAAGAAACCATAGAACAATGAGTGGTTGCATTTATGTAGTTGTTGAGAAGATAAGGAAAAGACTGAAAGAAATACACATGAATTATTCAGTGTAAGGAGAAAGAGCCCCACACTCAGTTTCCCTTCAACTGAAATGTGTGCTCCAGGGGGACAGGGATGTCAGCATTACCTTATACCTGGCATTGTGCCCAGTCTTTCAGAGGCACTTAATCAATACTTTTTTGTTGAATGAATCAAAGCATGCATAAATGGTTATACAAAAAGATAGGGAGAAATTTTAAGGAAAATGTCAGCAATCATGTCATATTCAGTAGCCTGATGCAGGAATGAAATTTAAAGGATTTAGTCAGAAGAAAGTTATTCTGTAAGACACATGGTATATTTAAGTGTAAACAGTAAATCTGTGGGTTTTTTTCCCTGTGGGGTTTTTTTGTCATGTAAATCATTGATTTTTGAGCTATCGATCTGCATTAGAAAGGCAGTAATAAAATATCACATGATGCTCATACTTGCATATACATACATGTTACTGTGTGTACATGTTTGCTGCATACATGTATGTGTGGTATAGTGTAGATATTTAGTTCCAGGCTTCATCATATTCTGTTTCTCTGATGATATCCTGTAGCTGCCTCCTTCAGGCTGTAAATGTAGTAGAAAGAAGATCCTCTCAGGAATTTCAAAGGTTGTAGAAGGCTGTTTTGGGAGGCTAGTACATACAATGGCAACAAGACATATGTTTCTAATTAGCTGCATAATCCTCCTCCTTCTGCATAATCCAGGTCTCCTTCTCCCAAGAATAAAATATAATTTGGTCATTAAGGATAGTTCAGGGCTAAAACACAGCTGACTATCTTGCCCACAGCTGACTCGGATTTGATCCCTGGCACCATATTTGGTCACTTGAGCATCGCCATGAATGATCCCTGAGCACAAGGTCAGTAGTAAACCCTGAGAACTGCTGGATATGGCCCCAAGCCTCCCCAAAAGAATATGATAAAATTTCTAGAAATTTCATGAAAATATAAAATTTTAAGATTTCTTAAAATATTTTAAATCCAGGTGCATATTTATTTTGAAAGAATATATCATTATGTCACCAAGTAGTGATGCTTATTAGCATGCTGTTTGGGATCTGAAAATTCAAAAGAATAAGCATCTAAGATTTTATGTATTTTGAAATGTAATATCCAATAGCCTCTAAATGAAGATGCATTTATTCTTTTTCACATTTTTAAACATGGTCTATGGGGGAATAGACTTATTCTAGCCCACATAAGTGGACCCCAATACTGCTAGTGGAAGTTTTGCATGAGTCTGTAGAGGCAAGAGACACTGAAATAAATGACATTTAGTCTTTCATTGTCATTTTAATGTAGCTAATTTAAGATTTCAATATTTTTTTTTCCAAATGATATTTGGCATTGGCTGGAGGTATCTGGTGATGGGTTTGAGGTTGTAACTTCAACAGGTATAAGTATCTCTTTCCTCTGTTTCAGCTGAGAAGTTTTGAGAGTGACATATTCAGAACCATTAAGAGATCTCCAATTTAATTTCTCATCATGCTTATTCTGTAGTTGATATTAAGCCCTGAGTACTGAAGGAATGGAACAAGTGGACTAGTAGACTTGAGATAGCTGGCCATGGTTTTGGCCATGGCATCTCATGATGCTCAGAACTTCTTCCAACCTCTCACTTCCTGGATATCTCGGGCTTATGAAGCTCTCCAGCAAGCAGGTGATACATTATCTGCTTCGCTGGTTAACTTAAACAAACAAGACTCTAAACTGAGCGATGAGCTAGCCCAGAACCTAGATGATATTAAGGTTCAGGAAACTTACTTTGAAGATGAAGAACATGGCAATGCTTGGAGTCAAGAGGATGCAGATTCCTTGTTTGTTGGAGTGGATCATTTCTCCTGTTATAATAGTGATTTGCAGGACTCTACCCGAAGTTCAAAGCCCAGACTTAGCCAACATGCAAAGGACTCATATTCTATAATGTCCCAGTGGCACAATCAAACCCTTGGTGACCAAATGCCACTACATGTGCTTTCTTCTATTGCTGAGGAAGAACATCATCTTGAAAAGCAAAGGAGTGGCCTTCAAGACAGCTTTGACTGCCAGCTTTCTGGTACTTTAAAACATGTTAATGGAAAAAAGCAAGGTAAGCTAGTCAGTGATCATTTCTCTGGGTCCTTCCCAAACAACATTTATACTCTTTTATTTTGACTTGTTTTGGTTACCATAATGATTCTTTCTCTTTTATACCTTTTCACATACTGGCTTCTTATTGAGAGATTCAAATCCTTAGAAACATTTTTAGTATATGAAATTTTGGAAGACTCATGTTGGTGAGCTCCATATTCTAAAGCAATAGTTCTGAGCAAGGGAAATGGTGAAAATGTCTGTAAATTCTGTTTGAGAAGCCCCTTGTACATATGGCATGCTTAAAAATATCTTTAAAAATGTTCTTTTTTCACTAGGTTAAAAATCTCTAGATGTTTCTATATTATTCAGTGTGAAATCCTGTGCAAAAAGCCATACTTGTTGCAAAATTTAGTTGATAATGCTCCAAGAACATTTCTCACAGTGTTTCACTGAGATGTGATGTGAGATGACAGTAGATAGGAAATCTTTGAAATAAGAATAGTTTGCTTTTCTTTTAGCCTTGAATGGAAAGGACATATTTAAAACAAACTACCTATTAAGCTTTATCCCATCAGAACAGAGCATAAAATGGACTTTCAGTGTAAGAATAATGAATATGGTATGACCCTGGACCTAATTCTGTAAACATAGCTGTAGTGAGTCCTACCATGGATTTCTCATGCTCTAAACCAGTATCAGAACATTGCACCTAATAGAGGGACAGAGGTACATGATATGCAAAGTTTTACATACACGATTTGTAGCTAATTGTATACATAGAGTACACAAATTCATTTTTTCTGTGATATAAAAATGAAGTCATTAATTTTCTTTTTATTTGACGAAAGTTTACTTCTGAAATACTAGTCCATTTTTATTTTGTTATTATTTTTTAGAAAATAAAAAGGTTTATTGGAAAGTAGATGAGAAAGAAACAGTAATCCCCACTTGGGGAGGAACTTAGTATAGGAATAAGTTCACTAGTCCGTTTTTTAAGACTTCTCTTTATTTTTTAAAGCTATTTTTTACTTTATCATTTTTGGAGAAATGCTTTATCCAGATAGATAAATTACTGGTAAATGAATAAACATCATTTCACATGTTTTATATGCTCCCTTGATAGTTTTACTAGATTAAGGTAACATTGAAATGCTGGAATTAAGTAGGTAAGACAGATCAATACTCTTCCCAAATCTGATAAACTATAAATAAATGTTCAAGTCTTAACATTATATGAATAATTCTAAAAATATTTGGGGTATCAATAGTATTTGTTTTTTTTTTTGACTTAATATTTTAATTCCTATTTTAGAAAATTCCTACTGAAGTTGAACTATATTTCAAAATATTGGATCACAGTAAAATAGACAGTTACAAGGTTGTTCATGGTTGGGTTTCAGCCATCCAATGTTCCAACATCTGTCCCTTCACATGTGTACCTTTTTTCATCACCAATGCCTCCTGTTTTCCTCACATCCCTCTCTCACCTGCCTCTATGGCAGGTAATTTTCCTCTCTCTCTCTCTTTTTCTCTCCCCCCCCCTTTTGGACATTATGATATATTTCAAATTGTTAGCTAGAGTTTGTCTTAACAAATGTTAGGTATTTGGTTTTGTATTTTTGTCATTGTGTTACTATAATAGAAATTAAATAATTGTGTTCATTTGTCCATTAAGGAGATATTTGTTCACTGTATAGCAGTCTCCCAGAATTAAGGAACTATGTCAAAGATTGATTTCTATATCTTTAACATTCAACATAATACTAAGTACATAATATATAACATAATAGTGCTGGAACAGCAAGAAAGTAAGCTAACAACTCTTAAAGATAGATATTACTTTTGTTCGCACTTCACAATTGAGAAAATTGATGCTTACAAAATTTGAGAATACTCCCAAGATGCACATTTAGAAAGATAGAGAACTCAGTCTGTTTTTAGAGGTTGTATAAATATTTTTCTTGCGTATATAAATTACAAACTACAAAATTCATCCTTCTTGGCATATAGTTTTGAGAGTTTAAGTAGCCTACAATATTCTAACCACTTCTACAATCAATTATAAAACAGTTCCATTACCTCAAGAAAACATGTTTCTTTGTAAAAAAAAAAACTTTACTTTAGCTCCTGTCAGTTGCTAATACATTTTTTGTTTTGATCATTTTGCTTTTTTCAAATTATTATGTTTTTAAAATTGGGCAGGATTTTTTTAACGATTTGAGTCTCTTTTCTTTCATAGTGAAATGATTTCAGTTCATTTGAGATTCATCTATGCTGTGTGTTTTAGTAGTTTGTTCCTTCTAATTGTTGAATAGTCTTTTGCTCCACAAATGTATGATGCATTGGCCAATTTATCATATGAGATTATTTGGATTGTTTTCAGTTTTAAGTTTTTACAATATTTGTAAAATGTACGTTTTATGTGAATATACATATTTTTCCATTTTATTTATGTATGCAAATAGTAGTATACTTGCTGAGCCATGTGAAAAATGTAGCTTCAATCTTATTTATATATTTTTTAGTTTGGGGACATAGCAGTACTTGGGGCTTACTACTGGCTTTGTACTTAGAGATAACTCTTGGTAAGATTGGTGGACCAGATCAGGTGCTGGGATGGAACCTAGATCAGCGATAGGGAAGTCAAGTGTCCTGCTGTATAATCTCTCTACATTTCAACTTTATTTTTATTTATTTAATATATTCTGACTTTCCATTTTCTATAGTTAAAATGTTCCACTTATTTTCAAAGTACATTTAAAATTCAACTTTGTTACAACAATTCAAATATTATTATTTTCTACTTGCAATTCTGCTATACCATGCCTACTACCAGAATGACAAGATCTTTCCACCATTAACCCAAGGTCCTTATAAACTTTCTTCACCCATGTGTCATTTTACATTCTCCAAAGTAATGAATGGGACACCTTAAATCTTTTACTTAAAATATCACTTATAATTTTCAAAGAGTTACTGGTTTATAAAGCCATTCTCATAGGTGTAGTGATTATAGCTCATGCTGGGAGAGAACTCACTATTAGTCTCTTGCATTTTTTCTTGTCTTGCGAGTAGAAACTCAAGTACTTTTTTTTCTTTTATGTTTTTGGGGGCCACATCCAGTGATGTTCAAGGCTTACTCTGGCCTCTGTAATCAGAAATTATTCCTGGTGGTACTTAGAGGACAAATGGTATGCCAGTGTAAAACCTGGTTCGGCCAAGTGCAAGGCAAGTATTCTACCCATTGTACTATTTTTCTAGCTCCAAATCTCAAGTAATTTTTGTTTGAATAATTTTTTCATAGTTGTTTGTTTGACAGAGTCTTGGAAGATATAAACTCTTCCTTTAGATCAGAGAGACTTGCTTACATTCCAGTATAATAAAGAACATGTTGGTCTTCAGGACAAAATTTAGGAGGCTTTGTTGGCAAATGATATTTTCCAAGATTATCTAAGATGGTGTGCCCTGACTGTGACATAAACCCATTCCATGTGCAATATCTACCTGGGCCTACTTTTGCATCTACACTCTACAGACTACCATTCAGTGATTATTGGATGGCGGGGGGGAGGCTCTGATATGATTATGAAGCTAATGTTTCTTACTGTGCTTACTCCAAGCACCGTGGCATAACAAAATACCCTTTCTCTGATCCAGTAGTTTGATGTTTTCTGCCAATACCCATAAAACTATAGAATAATTTGTTAGTGAGCAAGTGGGTCAAATTTCAATTTTTAACATCTAATTTGGGATTTAATTTGCATTTTCCTAATAACTCATCACATTGATCAAATTTTCATGTATTTGTCATCTGCCACAAATAGCTTCTCAAGTAAAGTCTTCAAATACCATGCTCATTCTATTATTTTCCTGTTTTAGAGATTTTATGTTCTGTTTATATTCTTATAAGTCAATGTTCCCCTCCCAATTTTGTGACTTTTCTTTTTCATTTTCTTAACAATATCCCTCAAAAGAATTTTTTATTAAATAAAACTGACCAATTTTTTTTCTTTATGGGGTATACTTTTGGTATTGATATAAAAAATCTAGATTTTCTCCCCACCCATGATTTATTCTCGAAATCTCAGGGTTCCAGCACTTATATTTGGGCTGTACTCCATTTTAAGGTATTTTTAAAAATATGCTGCTAGGAATAATGGACTTATCATTTGCATATATAAATGAATTTCTCACCAACCTGCACATAGCTTTTAAATAATTTGTACATTTGGTGAAATGACTATCTTCTACATGCCACATTTTGGCACCATAGTCAGAAATTTATTATCTGGATGCATGGATCTATTTCTTGACTCTTTTCCCCATTAATCTATATTTATGTCATGTCTCAAATATAACATTGTCTTGCTCACCATAGGTTTTTAATATTTTGAAATCAAGTAGTATAAACCCTGCAACATTATTATTTTTCCCCACATTTTTTTGTGGCCTCCCCAGAAGTGCTCACAGTCTGAGGGCTACTCCTGAGCCTACTTAGCTTCAAAGTATAGACCTGATGGTTTGATAATAGATCTGGCAATGTGGTCCTTCTCGTGCCTGGTGGTGGTGGGTGTTACCCAGGGCTATACCTGGCAGTGCTCAGAATGCCATGCTGTGTGGAGATCAAACTTGGTGTTTATGCATGAAAGGCATGTCTTCCACACCATTGAGGTATCTCTCCAGTAGCAATTTTATTGTTTTTAAAAAGTTGTTTTGACTGTCTAGTTTATTTTCTTTATGGTATATTCTTTGAATGAAATTAAAAGTTTTTAAAAAATTATGCTGAAAGTTTTATTGGAATTGTGTTGAAATCACAGATGTTTGAAGAGAAGAGCATGCTTATAATACTGTTTCTAAGTACATAAAAATGGTATATTACTTATTAGGTTCTGTTTTATAATTTTTGTCATTTAATACATGTGCATATTGTGTTAACTTTTATCTATTTCTTTTGTATTATAAATAATAATTTCATAAAATTAAATTTCCAATTGTTACTAATTGTTACATAGAAAA